AGAGAGAGAGAGAGAGAGAGAGGAAGGAAGAAAGGAAGGAAGAAAGAAAGAGAAAGAAAGAAAAAGATGATACAGAGAGATTTGATCAGACAGAAAGACAGACACAGATTTATATATATATACAGTATATACATACATACATACAGAGAGAGAGAAAGAAAGAGAGAGAGGAAGGAAGGAAGGAAGGAAGGAAGGAAGAGGGAGAGAGACATACCAGACGGGGGGGGGGGCTCCCCAAGGGGTCCCAGCCTCGGCCAGCCCCCCCCCTTTACCAACTCCCTCTCCTGCCCCTTACCTGCGAAGACCAGGGAGCAATAGGCGTCGCTGATGTCGCTGTCCGGCGTCGGGACCTGCTGGGCCTGGAGGATGAAGACCCGGAGCATTCTGGCAGAGCCGGAGCGGCCTGGGCCGCTGGATGGCCGCTTGCTCGGCCTCCAGGCCAGTCACCCTCTGCGCCCGGCCGGCCAGCTGAGCGGCTCTTGGCACGGGGCTCGGCCAGAGTCCGAGAGCTCTGAAAGGGGCGGCCGCTCCGCTGAGCAGCCGAGCCAGGCACCCAGCCACCCCGAGGGATGCGCCGGGGTGTGTGTGTGTGTGTGTGTGTGTGTGTGGAGGAGGATCCTGGCTGGCTGTTCACACTTGCCTGCGAGCACACACACACACACACACACACACACACGCAAACACACACACATTCAGATCCAGCCCAAACACCAGGCAGTTAACAGAATAAGAGAGTTGGGAGGGACCTGGGAGGTCATCTAGTCCAACCCCCTGCTCGGGCAGGAGACCCTAGCTAGACCATTTCAGACAGGTGGCTGTCCAGTCTCTTCTTGAAAACCTCCAGTGTTGGAGCATTCACAGCTTCTGGCGACAGGTGGTTCCACCGGTTAATTGGGAAATTCCTCCTTAATGCCAGGGTTGCTTCCCTCCTTGCTCAGTTTCCCTCCATTGCTTCTTGTCTGGCCTTCGGGCGCTTCGGAGAAGAGGTTAGCAGAATAACAGAATAAAAGAGCTGGAAGGGACCTTGGAGGTCTTCTAGTCCAACCCCCTGGTCAAGCAGAAGATCCTATACCATTTCAGACAAAGTGGTTGCTTCTCCCCTTATTTTCCATCTGTTGCTTCTGCTCCTGCCTTCAAGTGCTTTGGAGAAGAGACTGCACCCCTTTTTTTATGGCAGCCCCTCAATATTGGAAGACTGCTATCCTGTCACCCCTAGTCCTGATACAGAATAAGAGAGCTGGAAGGGACTTTGGAGGTCTTCTAGTCCAACCCCCTACTCAGGCAGGAGACCTAGGCCTTGACCAGGGGTTCTCAATCTTGGCAACTTCATGACTGGTGGACTTCAACTCCCAGAATTCCTGAGCCAGCATGGGGGAACTATGGCCCCCTCATGACTCGTGGACTTCAACTCCCAGAATTCCTCAGCCAGCATGGCTCAGCTTGGAAACCTCTCCCTTTCCCCTCAGCGTGGCTGGCTCAGGAATTCTGGGAGTTGAAGTCCACGAGTCATAAAAGAGCCGAGGTTGCCTACCCCTGGCCTAGGGAAAAGGTCTCCCCAAGGAGGGAGCCACAAACACCTACACATCTCCACCTGTGGGATGGGCTGAGCTGGCGAGTGCTGGTCAGCAACCGGCCTGTAGATGCTTGTGCTCTCCCTTCCCAGCCCCGGAGGGTCTCCACCTCGTCTTCCATGGCAGCCCCCGGGAAGGGAATTAGACTTACAACAGTTTGTTTAGGGGCTGAAGTCACAACGGCCACCCAAAAGAGTGACTCAGGAGCGTTTCTCACACTTACGAGCCTTGCAGCCTCCCCGTGGTCACGTGACCCAGACTAAGACCCTTGGCAACTGGCATGTACTTAGGACGGTTGCAGTGTCCTGGCGTCACACGATATCTTCTTCTGCAACCTCCTGACCAGCAAAGCCAACGGGGGAAGCCTGATTCGCTTAACAGCCGTGTTACTAACTTAGCCACCGCGGCGATCCGCTTAACAGCCGGGGCAAGGAAGGTCGTAGAATGAGCCAATNATATATATATATATATATATATATATATATATACAGAGACAGAGACAGAGACAGAGAGAGAGAGAGAGAGAGGAAGGAAGAAAGGAAGGAAGAAAGAAAGAGAAAGAAAGAAAAAGATGATACAGAGAGATTCGATCAGACAGAAAGACAGACAAAGACAGATTTGTATATATATATATACATATATAGAGAGAGAAGGAAGGAAAGAAGGAAGGAAGGAAGGAAGAAAGGAAGAAAGAAAGAAAGAAAGAAAGAAGGAAAGAGATGATACAGAGAGATTTGATCAGACAGAAAGACAGATTTATATATATATATATATATATATATATACAGAGACAGAGACAGAGAGAGAGAGAGAGAGAGGAAGGAAGAAAGGAAGGAAGAAAGAAAGAGAAAGAAAGAAAAAGATGATACAGAGAGATTAGATCAGAGAGAAAGACAGACACAGATTTATATATACATACAGTATATACATACATACAGAGAGAGAGAAAGAAAGAAAGAGAGAGAGGAAGGAAGGAAGGAAGGAAGGAAGGAAGAGGGAGAGAGACATACCAGACCGGGGGGAGGGGGCTCCCCAAGGGGTCCCAGCCTCGGCCAGCCCCCCCCCCCCGTCTGCCAACTCCCTCTCCTGCCCCTTACCTGCGAAGACCAGGGAGCAATAGGCGTCGCTGATGTCGCTGTCCGGCGTCGGGACCTGCTGGGCCTGGAGGATGAAGACCCGGAGCATTCTGGCAGAGCCGGAGCGGCCTGGGCCGCTGGATGGCCGCTTGCTCGGCCTCCAGGCCAGTCACCCTCTGCGCCCGGCCGGCCAGCTGAGCGGCTCTTGGCACGGGGCTCGGCCAGAGTCCGAGAGCTCTGAAAGGGGCGGCCGCTCCGCTGAGCAGCCGAGCCAGGCACCCAGCCACCCCGAGGGATGCAGCGGGGTGTGTGTGTGTGTGTGTGTGTGTGTGTGTGTGTGTGTGTGGAAGAGGATCCTGGCTGGCTGTTCACACTTGCCTGCGAGCACACACACACACACATGCAAACACACACACATTCAGATCCAGCCCAAACACCAGGCAGTTAACAGAATAAGAGAGTTGGGAGGGACCTGGGAGGTCATCTAGTCCAACCCCCTGCTCAGGCAGGAAACCCTACACCACTTCAGACAAATTGCTGTCCAGTCTCTTCTTGAAAACCTCCAGTGTTGGAGCATTCACTGCTTCTGGAGGCAGGTGGTTCCACCGGTTAATTGGGAAATTCCTCCTTAGTGCCAGGGTTGCTTCCCTCCTTGCTCAGTTTCCATCCAGTTGCTTCTTGCCCGGCCTTCGGGCGCTTCGGAGAAGAGGTTAGCAGAATAACAGAATAAAGGAGCTGGAAGGGACCTTGGAGGTCTTCTAGTCCGACCCCCTGGTCAGGCAGAACACCCTCTACCGTTTGAGACAAATGGTTGCTTCTCCCCTGATTTTCCATCCGTTGCTTCTGCTCCTGCCTTCAAGTGCTTTGGAGAATAGACTGGCCCCCTCTTTTTTTATGGCAGCCCCTCAATATTGGAAGACTGCTATCCTGTCACCCCTAGTCCTGATACAGAATAATAGAGTTGGAAGGCACCTTGGAGGTCTTCTAGTCCAACCCCCTACTCAGGCAGGAGACCTAGGCTTAGACCAGGGGTAGGCAACCTTGGCTCTTTTATGACTCGTGGACTTCAACTCCCAGAATTCCTGAGCCAGCATGGGGGAATTATGGCCACTTCATGACTCCTGGACTTCAACTCCCAGAATTCCTGAGCCAGCATGGGGGAATTATGGCCACTTCATGACTGGTGGACTTCAACTCCCAGAATTCCTGAGCCAGCATGGGGGAATTATGGCCGCTTCATGACTGGTGGACTTCAACTCCCAGAATTCCTGAGCCAGCATGGCTCAGCTTGGAAACCCCTCCCTTTCCCCTCAGCATGGCTGGCTCAGGAATTCTGGGAGTTGAAGTCCACCAGTCATAAAGCGGCCTAGGCCTAGGCCAGAGGTAGGCAACCTTGGCTCTTTTATGAGCCGTGGACTTCAACTCCCAGAATTCCTGAGCCAGCCATGCTGAGGGGAAAGGGAGAGGT